ATATGCGAGAATGGTTCGGAGAATGGCTAACTTAACATATTGAGCAAGCAAGTACGGCCCGTGGTGCGCTACGTGCGCAATCACGTTACCCTCGGCCGAACACCGCAAACGAGAATTATCATCCGAACATTAAAGCTAATCTAAACATGATATTGCATGAAAAAGCTAAGCATGCGAGGATTACTCGGAGAATATAGTTTATAACATGACATGAACGCGCGGCTACGGCTATAGCTCACATAACACACACGCATGCCTCACTAACATAAATAACTTAATGAACATGCTACTCTCGGTCAAAAGTCGACGGGAGCTTACCTCTTATTAAGCTCTCCCGAGCTCGGCCGTGACTCTCCGCGTGTGCGTGCGTGCGTTGCCTCGGACTAGCGTGCGGTTGGCTTGCGGTAGCTTGCGGCGTTGCGTGCGGAAGCTCTCGGCAATGCTCAGGACAAACACTCCAAACTCACACAATAAACTCTCTACACTCTCGGCACTTGGAGAAGAAATGGAGCAAAAACTCCCAAGCCTCACTTAAAAACCGAAAGCACATGATGGGGGAGACATAAGGTCAAAGACCATGAACACTTGGCACTAAAATACAAAATGCTATGCAATACACTCCAAAACACTAGGATAAATTATTCATAAGGAAAAACCGAGGGTGTAGGCACATGAATTCGGAGTTTACAAGAAGGTGCATGGTTTTATGGAATAAAATGCACTAATGCACCACTCATTCACACGACAATTGAGGGGGACAAAGAATGAAGGAATCTCTTGACCACAATTCAAACACTGCCACTTACACCCTACATGCACGGCATCTACGGGCAAAGAGACAAAGGGCACGGATTCTTAGCATGGGGGGAGAGGGAATCTTGGACTATTGCTAGCAAAATGCAAAGGGATGGTGCACGGCTTTTATGCATGAAATGAGAGGGAAAAATCCGAACATAATATATATATACCTTAAGCTTGATTAATATGTTAATTAATCATCTCATCATGTTTAATTATTAATTAAACATAATGCTTAATTACCAAAATTATTCCGAACGTAAACGGTACGTAGAAAATAATTTTCGGTAATCTCGACTGAAAATAATTAATTCCGAAACTTAATATCGGAACTAAAAATATAATTTACACTGATAAAATGTCGGGATATTACAGGTCCAGTTAATTTGTTTTGGTCTAGAATACTCGCAATTAGATTTTTAGCCATTTTAGTAGAGTGATCTACAAAAACAACAAACGAAGCAGAAAATAATTAGACTATGGAATTTATATTCATTTTGTATTAGGTCTTTAATATTAAATGTCTCCCACTATTTTAATTAAAACCCCATTTTAATTATGAAAATCTAATTTTCATGGTGGGCTTGAAGTCCAATAAAATTATTTCATATCTCAATTTTATGAGTACGCATGAAAAATTATATTGGTAGTTAACTTTTAACAATTGTATCACTATACAACCTTCAAGATATTTTGCCTCACTTTTCCTTATATACCTCAATTTTATGACCGTATGTATTACTAAGTGTCAAACCAAACCCATCAAACATTCATGATAATGGCCCACCAGAATGTCCCACAACTCATGGTCAACACAAAGAGGAATCCATCTCACGAGTATCACTATACTAAGTAGGGATCACAACTTTCAACACAAAACCACCCCACGACTCATGGTGGGTGATAAAGCATCGTAGCATCTCATGTCGTCTACTTTTGATGGAAGGCCTAGATTAATAAGCTCCAACTTATTTTTATCTATTTTTGATTTGATATGGAATTAATCTTATTAATTCTTTAGGGTTTCATTTAGATCTCATCTTTTACCATCTTTTACTTGTGTTTATTTAGTGCATCATTCATCGCATGAATCACAAGCATAAATAAACCTAACATACATCTAATGCATGTATACGGTGGGATGATCACGACCTTGCCTATACGACCCATTCGAGCCAAAATGGGTCTATGCCTATGTACGTGATAAAAAAAAAAAACTACTTCTATTACATTTTATTTTATCTACCCGTACAAGCATAGGCCTTCGAGATTTACAACTTGTAAAATTACCCACACAAGCGTGGGCCTTTTTGCATCGAACGGTCTTCAACCTGATCTAATCTTTTAACGATACAAAAATTTAAAATTTTACAAATCATAACCCATGAGACTCGCAGGTCTCGATAAATTACAATCATTCAATCATATTAAATAAATATGCAAACATTCACTCATATTGAATAAAAGTACAAACATTCAATCATATTGAATAAAAGACTCATGATCATCCCTAAATTAAACCATTGATCACATGAATTAAAACATAATAAAAAAAATTATTATGCCACACGACCCGTGTGATCAAATCACACGACTCGTGTGAGTCTACACGACTCGTGTGGAAAAGCCGTAAGAAAAAACAATTTTTTTTTTGTCTCACACGACTCGTATGGCTCAAGAACACGACTCGTGTGAGTCCACACGACTCGTGTGAAAAGCCGTAACAAAGAATCACAATTTTTATCACGCCACACGACTCGTGTGGATCCACACGACTCGTATGGAGAAATCAAAATTTTAATTTTAATAATTAATATGTTTATCATATAAACATTTAATTATCTTGTTTATCTCATAAACATTAACAAATAAAAATATGTTTTTAAAGATGAAAACCGTGGCTCTGATACCACTGTTGTGTTCGCTAGTACCGTACGGTGATTTACAGCGGAATAAAAATTTTAAAAACTAATATTTATCATATAAATACACAACCCGTAAATACATAAAGCGAATTAACAGATTGTCATCATTTAAAAATATGTAATAATACAAATTTTGATTTGTTGTAAGTAATATCAAATATTACCTTTTTCTTGAACTCCTTCAAAAACGACGATGATTGAGGAAATCAATTCCCGGTTTGGTAACGAACACTTCTTCTTGTTACTCACTTTAGGTATCCAATCGTCTTCCCTCTAAGAGTATCCACCTTTTGAAATCCGACTCCGAAATATAATTTATTCGCTAGTAGAAATTACTCGGTTTTTCAAACAAGTATAGGAATATATATTTGAGGAGATTTACAAGAACTTTTCTAGATAACACTTAGCCAAAAACTTAGTTGTTACGAACATAAATGCCCATATTTATAGCAAAATATTAGGAATAAAATATATATGTCTTGTATAACTTTTACAAGAAATGTAAAGAAATTCAACTTTAACTTTTACAAGAAATGTTAAAGAATCCTTTATCATTTCTACAAGTTAACACAAGAATATAATATGGTGCAAGATCTCATCTTCATCCATTGTTATATTATTATTATTACTATTATTATTATTATTATTATTATTATTTAATCTTTAATCTAAACTAAAAATTAACAATAATAATAATAAACAAATAATTTTAAACTCTTCTAAAATTATTTGTAAATATATTTTTCTCCCATATTTAAAATTTCCTCATTTAATAATCATATTATTATTTGGATTTGAATTTTAAAATCCAATTTTAAAATCCAACTATTAATTTAGTAATTCCATTAATTGCTTAATTAATATCCAAAATACAATTAATCAATCTAATTAATTAATTTAGTATATTCCTTTTAATTGACATCTAATCAAAATTAGATTTGTCAATTAATTCTAACTCTTTAGAAATACTAATTTTTGCCTTCATTCAAAAATTGATGTGACCTTTTAGGTTCACTATTAATACTAGTAGTGGGCTTACAACTCTTTGTAATTTGAATTAATTAATTCTTATTCATGAAATTAACTCCTTAATTTCAAGAACCCACATATCATCGGAACATCTAGCAAGTAGCATGAATCTAGTATTAAGTGAATAACGAGTAAACCTTTTCGATTACAAGTCCATACATGTAAAATCCTTTCGACATCTAATTTTCCGATTAAATCTTGGGTATGATTTAGTCGAAACCCAAATTGATTTAATAACTATGATTCCATTTCAAGTTTAGTAATTCATGTATGAATCTCTATTCATCCCGCCTTAGCCAAGGACTTTGAATTACGAACTATGAAACACATAGGAAATTCACTTATCTCATAAGTGTCGAATCCTTTGTTGGCTACTGACAAACTTCCATACATATTAATATAATACCCAAAATATCCCTTTATACGATTGTGCTAGCAACCATAAGGATAAAAAGCAACCAGAAGGATAAATCAAAGTAGAATATAATATGCACAAAGTTACTATCATGCCTCAAGTCTAAGGATCAATCATGTACTATTGTAACATGAAAATTCTTATTCGATAGAAAAACTTTCATTAAGAATTTTCATACGGTCATGTTCAGTGAACTTGTTCTCTAACAAGCACCCACATATATGTATTTGCGTCTCACGCTAATGTTGATGGAATGCAACATTCTTGTCCAACAAGCATACATACTATGTACAAGTCTTTCCGAATTATTCGATATCCCATCTCGAAATATCCAACGACTTGGAACTATGTTTTGTTGTTATGTGATTTTTAACAACGATGTAACTTATGATTAAGTGGATAATTTTGAATGGTTCGGACGTAAAGCATGTAAGATTAAATCAACAATGGCCCCGGTCCGAGGTGAACCGAGGTGAAGAGCCGTGATGGGCTTTTACGCGTTGCTTAGTAAAGTTTTTTCAGTTCGGAGAGAGATCCCCGTACAAATGTTATGGGCCCGATATTTATAGTAATTTCGGGTTGATACATTGGGATCTGTGCATTACTTTTTTGAATAAAGTTACTTTTACTTTTTGTGGGCGGTTTGAGGCAGGGGGTCCCACATAAATGATGACGGATCTTGTGGAGCAGGGGGGTTGTTCGTAGGCGCCTTGTCACCTGCTTAAGGAGGTGACGATCTCGGTTCATGTTGACCTCGGTAGATGTTGACCACTTCGGTCTTCGGTAGTTCGGTCCGGTTCGTCGCCTGAACCGAGGTGATGTTTAAAATCATGTCGGTTCAATGATTTTATCTTCCTCTTAATGTGACGTTTAGAATTTCTTAATGCAGGTTTACTGATCCGGATGATAACAGAGAGGCCCCCAACATCGATGGGCATACGGAGTGATGGTCGTTGATGTTGCTATGCCAGACATTTAGAGACCCTGGATCGGTAAGAAGTCGGCGGTAGGACGTGGTCTATGATCTTCGGAGGGTCATCTTCGGTCTTCCGAGTTCGATGTAACCGAAGTGAGTCATCTGTCCGAAGTGTAGACTGTATTCCGAGGTGAGAACACTTTGTGAATTTCGGATAATCTTCAAGCAGTCGTGATAGAAGAGGTGAACAGTCGTAACGGTCAACGATTAAATGTTTGGACCGAACGGTCGCGCCGTAATGGTCTTAAATGAGGTAACGGTCGACTTTAATAGGTAGCCACGTGTAA